TTTTTTTACCACTACTGAAATCTCTGTTCAATTCCTTCTCCAACAAATCACTGTTATCTGGGCTTGAGGAAACCTACAGGGTGTCAGAAGTTCTCTCCAGCATTGCACATATTTCTAAGGACAGTTTTTACCCATTTACTTAATGCTGATAATGACAGAAAAAGAATAATAATAGACTAACTGCACTAGCAAGTAGAGCTGAGATTAGAGCAGTGGGAGGTAACAATAGTACACACAAGTACCAAACAGGTATAACACAGTCAGCGATAGGTCAAGTTTCCATATCTGTCATATTTACATCAACTGTACACTAAGTAGATCACAGAGGTAGGTGAAATTAATTCCTTCTTCAAAATGTGCTTTGCTGGAACTCATCTGTTCTTGAAATCAAGGCAATAAAACCTGTTTGATTTTCTACCGTGCATATATGGAGGTTTTTGTGAATGTAGATTTTTAATAAGATTATCATGTGAACATATCCACTTGCCATTTTATCTTTAAAGTGATTTTTTTCCAATCCTATCATTGCCTTTTGCACTGAACCCAGCAGATCCTGGAATCCTCTACAGTTTCTTTAATTTGGTTGCTTTTTATTTTATGCTGGTACTGTGACTTTCTCAAACTTGAAGATTTTGGAAAAATGCCCGTTATAACTTGTTCTATACTTCCAAACCTGGAGAGTTTTGAAAAGGCATAGGACAGAAGAAAGAGAAATTCACAAAACTCTCAGTGTTTCTGTGTCAGAGCATATGTGGACATTATTCACCTTCACTGCACTTACTGAAAAATATGGAAGTCATAGGGATAACAGATTTTCTGGAGAAAAAAATATGTTCTTCCCTAAAATGTACTGTTAAAGGCTTATCCAAGTTAAACCAAGAGGGTGTGGAGTGGGGGTGAACAAAACAGCATGGAAAAAAATTGCTTAAATAGTTAATCATGGTCCATAGACACAAACACTGATGCCAGTGAAGGCGGAAAGCAGGGTAAAGATGGAGTGAAGCCACTGCTTCAGAAGGCCTTGCCAACTTAAGCTGACTTGAGATGTATGTGAGTGACAGCTTTACAGGGCAGTTTTGGCTAGCAATCCTCACCCATCTTCCTTCTCTTTCCCTTTACTCTTACTTTCCTTGGCCCTCTGCAAGCCTGCTAAATTCACTAAAATCACAGAAAATAACAACAAAGAAACAAAAGCTATCTAGTAAACTAAGACACTTCCATGAAAAAGTTTTAGACATATAACATATACACAAGGATGTAAAAAAATAATTCGAATATGTGTTGATGCTACTCTCAGCAGTTTGTAATTAAGCAAGTAAAGGACAGTTTATGCATGTTTCCTAAAATGCAAGACTTCTTCCCTCAGCATTTTTTGTCTTTTAAATGACTTTATCATGAAGCACAGGATAAAAGTTATTAGCATTCACTTTCAACACAAAAGTGGCTTAGTTGTTGTCTACATTAATTTAATTTATCACTCCAAGCAGAGACTGCTCCACACTGATTCCTAGTAGCCATAGAGCAGTTTCTACACACAAGCCTGAAGAAATTATGTGTGGCTATTAAAAAACAAAAAAAAACCACAACCCAACAAGTTTTTATATTGATCTTTAGAGCAGCAATCTTCATACAGAAAAGGAGAAGTCTTTCTGGGGTGACAGAGTAGCTACTTACTGTGCTTACTGTGAAGAATGTTCCTTTATAGGCTCCTAACTCCAGTTAGAGAGTGGGGAAGGGTGAGTATCTATATAGAAGTATGCTAAAAGAGGAAGTAATTATCCCACAGATATAATTTTAAAACAGTATCTGGGATAAAGACAGGATTCTACTACATTATATTACAACAACAGTCTTTTGGAACAACACCTGTGAGTCGTTATGTATTTGTTGTACATTACAGCTCATTGTTTAGATCGCGTGGAATGCTTTTTTGCAGGGTTCTCAGAAAATGCAGAGTAAAGAACACACAGCAGAAAAACGTATTAGGTGCACCTCTAATGAAATCTATTAATATTACCATAGCTTTCCTAAACATAGCATTTTCACTGCAGTGAAAGACAGAGACATTAGGAAATATGCAAGTAAAACATGACTTTTGTTTTAAATAGGAATTAGGTATTTTAATTCTACTGCATTTTTAAGACGCTAGATTTATTTTTAAATTGATCATAAGTGTTTAAAAGCAAAATCAATGAGTACACTACAGAAGAGATTTGCCAAGGCATGCATGCATACATACATATATAGAGTGTATATATATATATACACACACATAGAGTGAGGGATAACACAACAGTAACAGTGTAACTAATTTCTAATGTAGGGACTTTTGCATGTTTGTCTCAAATTTATGAGATGTACACACAGAAGATTACAATGTATTAGAGATTACATCTCTCCATTGTCTCTGAGTGATATATTATCAGTGCACTCCATTTTCATTCACAGTCTCCTTGGAACATCCCAAAGGTTACTGTAGGATCATGCAATATTAACGTTTTCCTTCTATCCATGAATCAAATCCAGACTCCCCAGATTTTGTTTTTCAGGTCCATCCCACAGTCAGATAATAACATTTTTATGAATATATGGGTATTTCATGTTTAAGTATTATAGAAAACAAGTCACACCTAAGTTAGAGGGAAGTATTCAAAGTTTTGTATCCCAAGTCACACAACTTTCCCATAACTTTTCCTTCTTGCTAAGCAGACTAAGTCACAGACTTGTCTCACATGCTAGACCAGGCTAGACATTTTCAATTACATTATTTTTCTTCAAAAGCATGACTCAGTATAATTTAAACTCAATTACATTAACGGTGAAAAGGATAAAATGATTTGTGTTAAAAACTTACTCACTGCCATGATGACTATGTTTTAATTCATGTTAGAGTCAATGTTTGGACTTAACCACTGTTTTCAGTGAGATATAACACAAGGCTTAACAAGAATATATCTTCCTTTTATATGGAATGGGAATTAATGCAGTTTTGAGACATAGTTCAGGGCAAGTTTTCAAGTAATGTTACATGGCTGTAATGCTATCTGTGGATTGTTTAAAGGTTTTATATTTTTAAGTATTTTTTTAACACACAGTGAGTGCTTTGCTTTATACAGACTCCTAACCAAGAGTTACTTTGCTTAATTCTCTTGAGGCAGTCCTTCCTTGTTGAGAACAAGATAGAATCATAGAATCGTTAGGGGTGGAAAGGACCTTAAGATCATCTAGTTCCAACCCCCCTGCCATGGGCAGGGACACTTTACGCTAAATCATGTCACCCAAGGCCTCGTCCAACCTGGTCTTGAACACTGCCAGGGATGGAGCATTCACAACCTCCCTGGGCAACCCATTCCAGTGCCTCACCACCCTAACAGGAAAGAACTTACATCCAATCAAAACTTCCCCTGTTTAAGTTTTAACCCGTTACCCCTTGTCCTGTCACTACAGTCCCTAATGAAGAGGCCCTCCCCAGCATCCCTATAGGCCCCCTTCAGATACTGGAAGGCTGCTATGAGGTCTCCACGCAGCCTTCTCTTCTCCAGGCTGAACAGCCCCAAATTCCTCAGCCTGTCTTCATACGGGAGGTGCTCCAGTCCCCTGACCATCCTCATGGCCCTCCTCTGGACTTGTTCCAACAGTTCCATGTCCTTTTTATGTTGAGGACACCAGAACTGCACACAATACTCCAGGTGAGGTCTCACGAGAGCAGAGGAGAGGGGCAGGATCACCTCCTTCGACCTGCTGGTCACGCTCCTTTTGATGCAGCCCAGGATACGGTTGGCTTTCTGGGCTGCAAGCGCACACTGAAGCCGGCTCATGTTCATTTTCTCATCAACCAACACCCCCAAGTCCTTCTCCGCGGGGCTGCTTTGAATCTCTTCTCTGCTCAGAGAGCACCCTGGTGGTGCTAGAGTTTGTATCTGATAAAACTAAACAGTTTACTTCTTTTACTCGCCTTATCAAATTACATAGACCTTTTCTTAAGTCAGCAATGTTCACCTTGAGCAGATAAGGGAGAAAAATTAGAAGCTGCTCTCTCAGGTAGCTGCCCCTCTTCAATAGCAAAATTGGAACTTTATCTCCTAGTATGTAGATGTCCCCCTTGGATTCTTCCTTTCTTTTGATTATTCTGTCAAAAGATGTATCCTTTCTGGGAACTAAAAAGGAAAGAGTTAAACAGAAGCTGAAAGGAGCTTATATGAAAAAGAAGAGATGACTCTATTGTAGTGGAATTAATCAAACACGGTGATAAGATAGACATATCTAATTTCAGAAGCTGCAGAAAGAATATCTTATCACAGTTGTTTCAGTGACCTCACTTTTTAACTTTCTGGGGAAATGCCCTCAGTGTGCAACCTTACACTGAGGAAAAGGACCCAAAATAAGTAGACAGAACAATATTATTGAGGTTGCCAATGGTTTTTTTAACAGAACTTCTTTTTTTACAGTCCCTGCCTTATAAAAACCAACCCAAATCACCAGTTAGAGAAATTCTAAACTGTTTTCATTTCAAAATAGTTGTGTGGACTTACATAAATCATGTGTGGCTGTAAGTCTTAGATGAGAAACTTTTCCATAAGAGAAATGGCAGCATCATGTCCAAACTCCTATGTAAGAATGCAAACATACAGTTGTGCATGCCTGTATAAGTAAAAATGGTATCATAACCATTTTTATATGCAATATTGAGGGAAACAAGCTGGACGAGAATATAATAGCAGCAGGATGTTTTATCTCGAAGTCCCTTCCTTAGTAGTCTCAACTAACCATAGGATCAACCTCCAAAGCAGTACAGTGATTCAGCTGAACTCTACTTTTCAGCTGGATCTCAGCAGGGAAAGAAAGGGACAAAGAGAAATAAACCAGCTCAGTTGTTGTAGGAATAACATGTTCTTACGGCAGTGGGATTTAATGTGGATTGTGATTATATTACAATTTCAACTTCTATATAATTATTAAAAAAACCCCAGGTGAAAGTAGTGATCTACAAATAGACTCTTTGAACAGACGTTAGAATTACTCTTCCCAAGTGAAAACAGAATGGTTTTATCAGCTGCTGTTGTACCCTAACACTAGATTTTAGTGTAGAGATCTGATTCTGATAAAATATTTGCTATTTTATACCCTGTATTTATACTCTATATAATTTGTGTAATTTTGTGAATACAAAAGAGCAACATTTTCCCCATAGTTAGATTTGGTGACTTACATTTTGTGACTTTTTTCTTTAGGGGGTGACACTTAAGCAGGTTCAATTCTTCCTGACTCCTTCAAAGACTATGTATGATTCTTTTCTGTGAAAATAATGAAAATAGCATTAGGAGTAGTTTCTTTTCTCAGATGTCTGCTAACTTAACTTCGTGTTTCTGCTTTTCCCCTGGAAATGCCCTTCTGCTCCTGTTTATGGCAGTACTTATTCATTACAATTTTATTCACTGTCTTCTGATCTTCGCCTTGGCTTCCTCCATCCGTTATTATTTCAATGCACATGACATAGCTTCTGGCCAAGCCTAGCCATGCTGCTTGATGAATCCTGTGGTAATGCCTATTAATACCAGGTATCTTACTACTTAAAGATTTGTAATTGCACTTTTTATTTTGTCTGAAAGAAGAGTACTTAGCACTTCAGAGTCCCTCTAAGCACTCTTTAATTTATTTTCTAGATCTCCAGATCAAAGACTCTATGATGGAAGTTTTCATACACTGCCAGAATAAAAATATTTAGATAGGTACCTGTTAAGAACCTTCAAAAGAAACTAATTGCTAGAAACTGAACTCGCACTGACTTGCAACACTAGGGAGGCTTCCACACAGATGCTATCATCAGCACTGTGAAGCATCTTTTAATAATTTTGATAAACCTGGCCTTGCAGAAACATTTTATTTTTATTTTTTTTTGCAAAACTGTTTTGCTCTTAACACTGAATAAAACTTGATGGGTATTTTTATGTGCATTAAAATAATGTAGACCAAATAGAAGTTAGTATACAACTGTCTATGGTATACAGTATACAATATACAACTGTTACCAGTCTGCACACCTATAGCTGCAGTAGATAATGCTTTAATATTGACAATCATAAATTACTGATCAATAATAAAGATATTATGACTAAAAAATGGGCATCTTCTATACTGAAGCTGTTGCACAGAGCACTCTTCTGCTTAAATAGTTTAGAATGTAAGAGATAACCACAATATCATCAGTTAGTAATGTCTCTCAAAGGAAAGAAATACAGTTAAAAGTTTTAATGATACAGATTTCTCTTTAAACATTTGGAATTAAAAATAGAAGATTTCCTACTGTAAGTGCCTGAAGTGCATATGACAGCAATCCTACTATTCAGCTTAATGAGCCTGTCAGCCCAGCATATTAAGCAGTTTGCTTTAAGTATCTTCAATATCATGTAGATCTAAAATGTTAATGGTAAGCAAGAGTTTGGAAAATGTAATAAGGGACAGTTTTCTGTATAAAAAAAAAATCTTCTATCATCTGCTATTTGTCTAGATTATGAAATATGGTTATTAATTATTATAGCTTTGATTTCTAGGTTCAAAAAGAATTCAAATCCCAAATTTTCCACTGTATTTTAAGATGTCTTCATACGAATCCAGAGATTCTTAACACTTACTTGCTGTCATTCAGCCTTCATTTTATTTTCTTGCTCATCTTGACACTCTTTTAAGGAATACTTTCCTCAATTGTTTGATCCACCATTGTGATTTGACTTAGCAGTCTTCTGATTAAGTCACTGTTTACAAATCCAGGATTTAGGAGTCTGGATGTCCTAACCTTCCTGAGCCACTCCTGCATCTATAATCTTATTTCTGACAGAAGAGACATATCTGCATATATCAGATATCCAGCTCCAGAGCCATTGCTCCCTATTTTTGTCATGTTGGTGTTAGAGATGGCTCTGTTTTTCTGCATATTGTTTGTCCAAGATGTGACTTAGGCAACTGTAAGCTTGTATGCAGGGACCAAAAAAGCACTTGTCTGCAAATATGCTGATCACTGATACTTTTAGGTATCCACAAGAGTTCAGAAATAGAATCATAGAATCATAGAATAGGTAGGGTTGGAAAAGACCTTAAGATTATCTAGTTCCACCCCCCCCTGCCATATAATCCTTGATACCTTTATGTTAAGTTGTTTAAGGATAGACACTGTGAATTGCTGATGGCTAAAAAGCGAGCTCCTTCTTGAATCAGAAGACGTTGTACTTTTCATTTGAGCAATGTAGGTTTATGGTCTTTGGAAAATTAACAGATTCAAACTTGTTCTAACTGAGCATATGTTGATTCACAAACCAGCTTCCAGGTCATGTGATGGGAAAGTTAAATGGATTAATAGGGAAAAGAAGAAGGAAAAAAGAAGTTCATACTCAGAATTCCGTCATGACTACTATGATTAAATGATCAGCATTATCTTAGTCTCTAAAACCCTACTAAAGAACAGTGGTGAAGGACAATAAAGTGCATTAGAACGTAAGCCAGTTTTCTTTGACATATAGATCACTTGAAAGGATCCCTATAACTCCCAGAGGAAAAATTTCCCAGATGGCCTGATGCATTATGTCATTGGTTTGAACTAGCTGTACTATTTCTTCCAAAGAATACTGGAAAAGGCTTCTAGTGTCTTTTTGTTATATGAGAATTCAAGTTCTGTAAGCACTAATGGAAATTTCTCAAGTAAATTCCATGCAAACTTAGATGAGAACACCTCTTTCGTTCTATTCTGTGTTTCTTTTAAAATATCAACAAAATATTAAGTCCAGCACACATCTTCATTATTTCATGCCACCTAAACATCTATAGGCATAACTACATTACTTTGAATTTCATGCACAGGGGTATTTTACCCTTTTTTACTTAAAATAATCTTGTGGCTTTACTACATATATTGGCTCATTTATTTTAAATCTGACATTTTTATAGCCATGCCATTTACAAATTAAAGAGCTAGTATATATTTTTTGCCTTGGGAAACAATAAAAAGTTATTTTTTTACATAACTTTTTGCCAGAATCATGGAAGTCTTTAGAAAATCTTTCAGCAGGTAATGTGGCAGTAGGATTTAATTACCATTTATATCACAGAAGTCCATAGACACACAGTCCTGGTTACAGGATCTCATTGTGGTAGATGCTGTTGAAACCCAATTCTTTCTTCATTCTCAAGATAAGTACCTTCTGGGCCATGGCAGTGCAAAATACCCCATTCTTCTCAAGGTTGTCCTAGAATGCTGAACTGTTGCTGATTGTCTGGGTAAGATAAGCTCACAATGTGTTTCTCTTGTCTACAAAAAGCAGACTCTAATAATTTAAGCTGTGAATCAAGTAATAACTTTTGGTCACCATCAGCATGGGCAAGATTTGAACTGATGACTTAGATTGAAACATGCTAAATTCTAGCATCACCCACAGCATTGCAAGCTGTACGATGAAAAGAAAAAAGAAGGTATTTTCTGTTGCGTGGGTAGTGTGCTTTAAATGTGAAAGAGTCTTCCTAGCTGTGGCAGCAAACAGCTTTGAGGTAATTGCTATTTTGTGTTTCAGTTCAGAGACAGACGTTAAAATGAGTCATTGGCTTCTGTTTCTGCCTTCTGAGCTGGCCCCTCTTCATGTACAGCTTTACTGGTTTTAAAGGGACTGTGTACTGGTACAGCTGCTCCCAGTACAAGAGAATATGCAGCATAGGGGAAAAATATTCCCACATATTTTCCTGGTAAAAGTTCGGTGATTTTGTATACAATTTATGCAGTTATACGCTATAATAGCTTTAACTGCAAAATACACAAAATACAGTAGTTCCTGTAGTGATTACACAGGATACTTAGTGTTTACATTCATACTTATTTATTTGTTACTTTGATTAAAGGCATGCTTGCTAAGGAGAAGTCTTGCTCTGAGGTTTCAGTCTTTTCCTCTTTCATGTTTCTTTTCAATTTACTTTAGAAATTTGTGTCAGTCTTGAGCACTCTTTTTGTCTGCCATGCACGGGAGAGGTATTATCCCAAATTCTGCTGTGGGAACTCTCTGCTTCAGCTGCCTTTAATAGGATCACGCTTTTTAAAAATAAGTCCTATACTCATATAAAAATTTAGATAGAAAACTAAATTACATCAGCAGTGAAAAATCGTATGACTGAAACATCAATTCTAATTTCAAAGCATTTCTTGAGACAATGCAAAATGTAATTCTATTGCTGAAGTGAGGCAAGGCCGTTCTGGGACAAAACTAATATAGAAGTCTGACAAATATTGTTAATAATCCACTGATATGTATAACTGATGAGAACAGTGTTGACAGCACCATATTGCAAAAAAGAATCATAGCCTGATGGGAACATTACAAGCCACTGGTAGAAATGTGCAAGAGCCTCTAATGCTGTTAGAGTTGCCACCATAGTGATGGACCAGATTCTCAGGAGCTGACATCTTCATAAATCAGAAGCTCTCTGGTACCACAACAGGTCCTTGGTTTGACTAATATATGATTACAGCTGAGGACTGTAGCATGGCAGAAGTCATGCTAAGCAATAACCTGTCCATGCTGTTGGCACTTTGGAGGCCAGAGATAACAAAGGGAACTCTGGCAGTCTTGGCTGCTTCTTCTACAAAACATTAACTGTAAAACCCAGCTGAATTCAAAAGCCATTTAGGATTTAAAAACAATACTGTATGTGTCTATTCGAATTTTCAAGTGAATTGGAAATCTTGTTTCCTACATTATCAAATTAAACACTACCTATTGTAAAAATATTTGCCCACTGACAAATGGATATCTACATAATGGACATTTACAGATGGATCTCCTTGGATGAATTTCTGCCCCATTAACAACTTGTGTACATACACAGTTCCAGATTTTCATTTTAAAAGCCGTAATTAAAGTGTAAATATTGTTGGCTAATGTAGTTGGCTGTCAATATGCACTTGTTACGGAAAATGTGACATACGTCATTAAATAAGAGAGCATAACATGTTATTTATAATTATGTAGGAATATGGTGTTCAGCTTAAGACTTGTTTATGTATTGTTGTGCACAGTTTTTAAATGTTGTGTTGCTGTATAGCTTGATTTTCTGATTCTTGGAAGTCAGAGTGTGTCCTGGGTTCAGCTGTAACAGTCAATTTTCTTCCTAGTAGCTGGTGCAGGGCTGTGTTTTGGCTTCAGTCTGAGAACAATGCTGATAACACAATGATATTGTAGTTGTTGCTCAGTAGCACTTACCCTGATCAAGGACTTTTCAGTCTCATGCTCTGCAGTGAGGAGGGGCACAGGAATCCGGGAAGGAGCAGAGACAGGACACCTGACCCAAACTAGCCAAAGGGGTATTCCATAGCACAGCATGTCATGACCAGAATGAAAACTGAGGTAGTCATCCAGAAGGGACCAATCCCTGCTCAGCTCAGGCTGGGTATCGGACAGCAGGCTTCAGCCACGACAAAGTGCTACACTTATTTTCATATGAATCAATCTGATCACACCATGATGAAATACATTTTTCTAGCGAGAATTTCACCTTTGTGTGTCTCATGCAGGCAGGGGAAGATTTTCTACTCCTCCAGTGCTTCATTTTAAGTGCTCGTTCTTTTTTTGAATGATATAATGACAACCTTATGCCCTCTGGAAACCTAATTGTCTTTTGAAATTAAGCTGAACTTGTCACTTAAGGAATGGTTTTATCTTTTGTATGTAAATTAGGGCAGAGTGCATTTTTGTTAATTTTTAATAAAAATGAATGTCTGAGTAGAAGACATTATCAAAGGAACAGACAAAATTACTCTAGGAGTCTTATTTTATTTGTAGTTGATGGAATATGTCTTTGATATCCTTATTTACATAGATTAGCACTTTATTCCATAATTGGAGCCTTCATCTTAAGTAATTGACTCTTCCTTCCTTAGACAAAGAAATGTATAACTTAGAGTCCTGGATATGAGAGAGGGAATAGAAGTTCCTGATGTAGCAGATGGGAGCATCCACAACGCTTACAAACAGGAGATGTACAGACATACAGGTATGATAAAAGTATTAGTGTATAAGAAGAAATTCTGGACATGGAGATGGCTAGCTCAGTGTAGTCTGGGGAAAGGCTGGAAGGGATGCAGTGTGCCCCGTTGCAAAAAATGATCTCATGTTACAGGATACAACGTGCAGGCAGCCACAAGCTTGATGTGCAACTTACCACATTTAGTAGAAAGGTGATTTCAGATACTGCAGTTGTGAAGGGAAGCATTTCCAACCAGAAGGGAGCAAGAAACAGTCTTCTATTGCTGTAATGTTCACTGTGCAGTCTACATAGGAGTCACTCAACAAAGGTTCTTAATGTTGCAACAGGAATGGTTTAAATATGAGGGAAATCAAGCAGTTCTTTTATTTATAGCTTGTGTGTGCATTTTTATGTAGTTTATAGCAAAAGTGAGTATTACTGAACACTTCAGTACTGATCACCAAGGTGTTCAGGGTCAGGTACACTTACATGCTCAGCACGTTGCCAGCATTGCCAGTCACAGATTTCATGGAATCATATGGACCAGAAAAGACCTCTGGAGAGCCTGTAGTCCAGGTCAAAGCAGGCTCACCTCTAATGTCTAGGACATCATTGTTCAGTTAAGCTCCGAATATCTCTAGTGACAGTGAATCCAGTCAAACATAGCTGACTGCCTTCAGGGTGAAAAACTGCTTCTTGACATCTACCTAGAACCCTCCCACATTGCAACTGGTGTCCGTTGCCTCTCGTCCCATCCTTGTCCATCTCTGAAGGGAGTCTAGTTGCACCTGCTTTGCTGCAGGTATCTTAAAGGATGGCGTACATACATTCAGCAGGAAAACACAGCAGTAAGCAAAATGTGAAAGGCACTCTATCTTTTTTCTTATGGGTGGTAAAACTACATCCCTAGAACAAAAGGAAAGTAGGATCTACAAACTCTTTACATGGTAACACTGTATCTCTCGTACATATTTGTCCTTATTGTCTCCTCTGAATCTCAGTTAAAAGTAAAGGAATCAAGTAGAATGTATTTCAGGTGAGGCTGTTTTAAAAATTGTCAAGAAACTACCATCTTTCAGTTACAAGTTTTTGCACATTTAATGAGCTGTGGATGCAAAGCCTAAACTGAACATATGATCTATATAAAAAAAAATTGCAATAATTTAATTTACCAAATATTTAGCTTACAAACAGTATAGACATTCTGATGACTGGGGGAAGCACTGTAGCTGTACTAGTAATTAAAAATAGTGCAGGCATACTAACACAGTTTAGCAATGTAAGGATATTTCAAAATAGGGATTGGTATTTCCAAAGGAACACTCAAGTCAGATGCCAAAACTCAGGTATTTTTAATGTTGAAGCAGAAGGTGACTCTCTGTGCTGCAAGCAAGAGACACGTGTGAGACAGAGAAAGAAACACATGCTTTTGGCACCTATCTTCCTTATTTTTCGTAATCCACACGAGTGGCTCTAGAAAAGTAAATTAGTTGGAATTGTGGTAGCCAGGGACAGCAAAAAACCTGATTTTCAGGGACTTCCACGAGAGAGATCTTGCCACAGTGCTTACATTGTTTCTAGCAACATGTCTTCTTTTCCTGGACTGAATTCCTGATTTACCTTTCAGTGTCCATTCTTCTTGTGGAAGACCCAGTCGATTGCAGCAGGAATAATAATCATGCCGCAGCATTTATAAGGCTTAAAAATACACATTCTATTCTATTCAATAGCCAGATGACATCAGAACCCAATGACCTGGAACAGTATAGCACAGATGAAGGCAAGATAATGTTCTCTGGGAAAGTCCAAACTCACTTTGCTTTTTCCCCCTTTTTGTGTGTGTGTGTGTGTGTGTGTGTGTGTGTGTGTGTGTGCGTTTCCAAGGCTGTCTACCATTACATGTTCTGACTTATCCTCTGGATCCACCTTTTGCTCTACTCCAGGGTCTAGACCAGGCTCCTAACTTAAATACTTTAATTAGTTGCCTACATTTAAATTATATGGCCATCATACCATGTATATATTTTTGGATATTAAAGATCCTCTAGTCACTTTCAGCAACTCCCTGGATGTGTAGCTGCAGCATCCAGAATAAATACTGCATGATCTACTTCAACTCAACCTCTCCTCTTGAGAAGATAACAAGAGGTTTTAATGGCAGCTAGGAAATAGAGTATGTTATATACATTTGTAACACTAGAAATGGTAATACAGATTTAGAAGAAAAATGCTGCTAATGGTGAAGCTCACCCGAATAGAGAGTTAGTCTTAGAACGTCACGCTTTAAACACTGGATCTGATCTTTCACATACTAAATATATATTTTAATGCAGGTGTTTGAGTCTAGGAATCAAAGATCTGAAATGTCAGACTGGGAAAGCAATGAAACCTTGACTTGTACCACTGGCATGCATCTGATCTCACTGCTGTTTTACCAAATTAGTCCTGCCTCATTTGATGACTGACCTTAGTATGAATCAGGGCAATCTTACCGTGCCTTTTTTGCTGTTCTGAAGTCCCACCTCAACAATACACTTTGAATTGAAGCTTTATGTGCACCAATACTGACGTGTCTTTTCCTCGTCCTGCTCACACAAGCATTTCATCAGGTGGCATATTGCTCATAGCACAAACAAATAGTTGGCACACTCAGTTCCTCTGTATAGACTTTGCTATTCAAGCAAAGAACATCTGTCTTGTTGGCCATGTTCACAGGCAGTTATTGAAAGACTGGAGAGACATCATGTGCTTTTTTATTGTAGGATCTGGACTGCATCTTGTAATGGAAGTAAATGTTGTTCCAAGCAAACTCTGCTTATAGACCAGTGACTCTGACCTGTGAGAGGTCCTGTGCTTGGAAGCTGTTAACACACAAACCTCGACTCTAATGCTTCAGCAGACTGTTAAATTAGCTTTTCCTTTTTTAACATTTTTTTTTTATTATTCTGTTATTCTTTTTAATATACTAGCCAAATTTTCTGAATTTGGGCAAACAGTACCAATACAAAAACCAGTTTTCCAGTGCTCTCTGACTCTGCTAGCCATTTTGGAGGACTCTTCATTCTTATCAAAAAATCACTGAAATACGTATGGGCAAAAAATCAGGCTTGAAAATGCTTGATTAAATTTGGCTGAAACTTCAGAGTTTTGCAAAGTGTTTAATAGTTGAAAAGCAGTTTTGTGCGGAAGTGAATGAATCAAACAGTAGTAGCTGTAATGAATAAGCCATTGATTTCACTGAGAGTGTTTATGTGGGTCATTATACCCTTTTACAGGTACCTAAGGGTTTTGGGGACTTGTATATATCTCAAAAGTGTTCAGGAGCAGCTCTTATTAAATTTATCTTGAATTTATTTGGGAAGCAGAAAAAGTACTGTACAGTGCAGAGCTACTTCCCATTTAAAACTTTGTAATAAGCAAGTCAGAAATTTCACTGTGTCCTTCAAATGTTCACTAGAAAAGAAAATATTCTTTAATATTTCAGTGTGTTACACTTACTGCTGTCAGGTAGGTGATTTATGGGTTTCTTGTTTTGCCAATTCACCAGCACACTGACAAAGAATACCATTTTGATCACCTTATCCTAATTAGCCTTAATTATAGCCTTCTTCACAAGGTAGTCTTTAGATGTGCTCACATATATATTTATCTGCAGGGCATTATTGTGAGTATAGGAGGACACTGTTCATTGATTTGCATAAAGAGGCTTTGGAGTTGTCATCTGGCTTTTATTCAGAGTAGCAATAATCTCAGACACTTAAAAAGCCTGCAGACACCTCACACTGTCACATTTGGCGATGGTAAAATATAGGTCACTAATTACACACAGGAACCAAGTACGAAATAACTTGCAGACTGTTTATTTGAGTACGTGTGGGCAGCGCACACTTTGCAGAAACAGGATTCACAGCATTTGCGTGAAGAACTTATTAAAGGAATAAATCTGTAGTATATGCAAAATAAAAAACGAGAGACTCAATGGGAGAATACTTGGGAGTAGTTGGCCAACGCTGAAGAAGGGAAGTCTGTTCTGTTTAAACAGCCCTGCTCATGCTAGTGAACAGGCTGCCCAGGGCAGTGGTAGAATCACCATCCCTGGAAGTGTTCATACACAGGGTGAGGTCTGTGATATGCGTTAGTGGTGGACTTGGCAATCCTGGGGTAGAGGTTGGAATTCATCATCTTTAAGGCCTTTTCCAACCTGACCGATTCTGTGATCAAAACGTGCCTCTGACAGAGTATACTGAAATTACTTAGGGAATTTATGCCGTATAGAATTTAAGCACTGCTGACAGCGCATTCGCCAGTTAATTTTTATCTAGCACCATCATGTTAAAACCGATCCTCAATTTCAGTGTCCCTCTACAACCTAGATAAAACCACCTAGCTACATGTGCTAACAACGCGTGTGAACAGGGAACATTTACGTGTAGCACCACTTGTTTCGGGTTCTCTGGTGGAGAAAAGAGCCATCGCCCCCTGCAACCGCTCCGCGCTCCTCGGCGGCCCCGCGCTTCCAGCCGCTCCCGTCACAACTCCCGCTCTTCCCGCACCACCCGGTCCACGGGGGCTCCCCGGGGTCTCCGCCACAGCCGATGGGGAGACCACTAACCCCGAGGGGCCCCCATCACCGCCACCGGCCCCCCCAGCCCAGCCCAGCCCAGCCCCGCCGCGCCGCAACAAAAGGCAACGCCGAGCACCAGGTGGCGGCCGCTGCCCGCCCACTGACAGTAGGGGGCGCTCGAGCTTCACCATGCAGCGCTGCCGCTTGCCCTCTCCTAAGCGGCCCCGCTCTCGGCGTGGCGCTGGCCGGTCACCCCGTGCCCCGTTCTGACACCCGTTTCGTTCCGCGATGCTCCTTCCTGCGTGGTCCTGGCTTTCTCTGGGGCAACTGGGCAGCCCTGCCGTGCTCATAGGGACTGATCTCCCTCGTTCCCTTCTCCCTCACCGCCTTCTGCCGGGGTCGTGGTCGGTCCCGGGAAACTTTCCCGCTGCCGGGAGCTGCGCCTCAGCCAAGGGGCCTGGGGAAGGGCAGAGCGGCGGCTCGTTCCTGGCTCTCTGCTGAGCAAACCCACAGTCCTATAGACTTAATAGGTCGCGTGTCATCCATTCTATTTTATATATGTTTTATTGTTTTCACCTTTTTCCGCACAGCGGATGAGCAGAGAAATCCCTGGAGAAGACCCTTTCCAAGGGTCTCGCTCCCAAGCGCGCAGGGAACGAGCGGAGAGAGGGAATGAATAATTAGAGCCCAGTTCCATGAAACCACTTACCGAAAAATTAGCTGCCCATTAACCGGGAAGCGGCGGGGAGCACCCATGTAAATCCTACCTATGGCCAACGGCGGCGGAGCGGCAGGGGGGCAGGGCCCTGCCCGCAGCCAGCCCCGTTCCCCGTCCCGCCGCCCTGCCCCGGCAGACAGGGACTCGGGGGTGTGGAGCGCCGCGCTCTAGTCCACACCCCGCAGCCTCCCTTCCCCAGGCAGCCGCGCTCATTCTCCTCCCTCCCTCTCCCTGCAGCCGGTGTGTCCGCGGCGGCAGGAGGCGGAGGCAGCGGGAGGGGAGAGAGGAGGGGAGCGGAGCCGGGCTGCCGGGGCCGCCCGGGAGAGCTGCTGCTGCTGCCGCCGGTGCCGGTGCTGCCTTGGCGGCGGGAGGCCCCGCACCCCCGGCAGCCACATCTGCAGGGCAAGCAGCCCGCCGCCGCTCCCGCCTGTCCTCCTTCAGTTTCCGCTCTGGGCTTCAGTGAGGAGGTGTAGGGGACAGGGGTTTGTTTCGAGGGGATACTGAGGAAGCCGTTCCCCTCCCGTAGCACATTGCCTAGGCGTTCCTATTATGGAAGTTAAGTGAGAAACTCCGCAGCTTGAACTGATTTGGTAGAGAAAGAGAGAGAAAGGGGTAGGGGGAGGGCAAGAGGAACGCAAAATTAGCCAAACCAAACCAATGATTTTCCTGCAAAGTGCTGGGAAGTTTGTGGAGCACGTTCTAGGAATCACGTCCTTTCTCAGAGTCTTTCCTTGTCTTCCGAAGAAAGAGCTCGCTTTTGGATTGCCATGGATCCTAAAGAGAGTCTTAGACACACTTGAATAATTCCTCTGCCGGGGCTGGATTGGTGGGAATTTAGGAAGGAGCGTGTGTGTGCAAAGCAGAATCTGCCTCCGGAGCTCACTCGCTGCTCTAATCTGTATGGATCTAAAAGTGTCACATTCAAGACCTTTCCATCTGCAGCTTTTGATTTCAAGATTTCCCTTTCCACTTTAAGTAGCTGCTAGGAAACTGAAAACTTTTGGACCTACCTCTTACTGGCTTTGGATACTTTTTTTTTCCTTTTTTTTTTTTTTTTTATTCCTGTGGTATTGGTCTCGCAAGCGATCGGGATTGCCTTTAATATGTCAAAATGGGTCTGCTGACGCCACTCTTGCTCTTTGGATTTGCATTTCTCCAAGTCTATGGTAAGTTCCCTTATTTTAGAGATGCCGTTTCTGTGCAGAAATCCCCTTCATCTGGCTCTGATTTGGGACAGCACATGTGGACGGCATTATAAGCTTTAACATTACAGAGCCTTAAGTTTGTTTCTGGTATAAAAATGGTATGGGGAGGTAGGGGGAAATATATGCTTCCAATAAGCAGTCCTTCCCGTCTGCGAACTTAATGGAAAAGCAGCTTGTGAATAGAAGGATGTCAGCTTGAGGTAGTGAGGAAAGAGGAAAAACTACAGTGCTAAATCTTTCTACTTCGGGGTGGTGGTGGTGGGTGGAAGTGGGGAGGAAGAGAGAAAAAGCAGAGCGCTGCTATAGCTGGTTTTACTTTGCCTCCTTCTATTGTTAAACTTTCCGCCGGGAGAGCCAGCTGATGAGATAAATAGGTTAGCTCTGCCTCGGCTCCAGGTGAGGCGTGCTGGCCCATTTCCAGAGTCCCTCAACGCCTCCTTTGGCGCTGGCGAGCGAGGCGGGGCGGGCAGCACCGGGGACTGCTCAGCACCGACCACGCCGCTCTCTTCTCCCTCTCCCCCCGCGGGGCCCAACCGAGCCAGGGAGGGCAGGTGCAGCGATGCCCGCCCGCCCCGAGAGGGCTCCGCTCAGGGGTGCGTCTGATGGGGGAGTCCTCCCGTCATCTCCCTCCTGTATCCCCCTGTTCCGGGCTTCCCGAGGGGAGTGTTCTCGTGGAGTTTAAGCAGCGTTGGGAGGAAAAGGGGGAGATTTATTGCTGTTTTCTTTTTCCCGCACGCCCCACCTGCAGCCTCCCCCTGCGCTCCCCGCTTTGGGTCTGTTCTGCAACGCTTCTTGCCGTTTTCCACTTGAAGTAATGGGTGCGGGACTACAAATTAGCATCTTGGGGAAGCGCGCTTTAGTAGGGCGAGAACTTGAGCCCAAAGGTAAATTGGCTTTCAAAGTAGTGGTTGGCGCTGTGCTGCAGCGTAGACGTTAGAGGCATTACAGTAGTTCAAGCGCTCAGCTAGGATGGGAGCATCTGTAACAGCTTACAGTTGTACACGGGTGTGTGCTGGGACCAAATGCTCGGCAGTCCTACTAGCATTGAGTATTTGCATCTCTAAATAGTCTTTTAGGCGTTAGATGAATTCAGTGTCTGGGCCCCTGGCTGGTTTTGCCTGTCTGTTTGAGCAAACTTCGTTCCAGGAAGCTGCTTATAGCATTTGCTCTATCAGTCCTGAATCAAGGACTCTAGGTTTATTGTTTGCAGTCGCAGGCTGCTTTGGGTATTTCTCCCCCTCCTCTCATCTTCCCCACCCCTTAGCAAGAAAGAAGGCAAAATAGAGGGGAACAGGGAGACATTCAAGTACAGTTTTACATTGGTTGCATAATATGGGATGCAGTTTAATGTTCAGTTTGGTCTACTGACAAGAAGATTTCTGTGTAATATATGCACATGCTAAACAGTAGGAAGTTTTAACTGTGAAAGGATTTAATGGAACGTTTGTGTCTATCGTCATACCGTCATAGTTTTGCAGGAATTTTGTTTTCTGGCATTCTTCCCCACTGTAACATATCTTGATCCTTAACCTGAAGACCACTGGGATCGAAGATGTCTTTGTATACAAACTGAAAACATGAGGCTGTAGCAATGTAATTATTAGTAAGTGTTTAAAATTGTATGTAGCTAGAAGGAATACAATTAAAGTGCTCAGTGGAAGTGACAAAGTGAATCAGAGGAGTTTGGTGTTACCGAATGTAATTAATGTACCAGGCTGTTTGGAGATACATGAAACAAATGCAATTAACAGGCTTGCTGGAATGACAGGAGCAAGGAGTAATTTATTCGTATTTTGTCATGGGGAACGCAAGTAGAACCTTTGTTCTGGTCTAGCCTTACAGGACAAGGGTGGTGGGTGCACCTGAAGTACATAGCTAATTTAGAGCTGGACCATTAGGCAAAAAATGCCAAGAAACCGCCCAGAATACATGTGAGCCTTCTCTTTTGTGGGAAGATATTGCAGAGACCATCAAGTTTGCCTACATTAACAACTCTCTTTAAATAAATAAATAAATAAGCCTTGTGGATAGCATGCCATGACCAAGTAGAGATAAGCTGTTATTGTCAAAATGACTAACAAGTAGCTTTGAAGTGATACTGTCATGGAAGCTTGGCACGCAATACTTATGTCTCTTTAGAAGCATAGTAATTACAATTACACCTTAGGGTGACATATTGCACCAGTTGCTCTGAAAACATGAGTATCAACATTAGAGCTACTTGTAATGCTTTAATGTAACAAAAAGGGCAACCCCAATAGACCACTTGTTTAACAAGTCCTTGTTTTGATTTCTGTGTTTGAAAGTTACCTCTTGATGCATTTCTGGTTTTGAGGTTTTGTTGTCGTTCGGTCTGTTTAGGTTCTTTTTGTTGTTCTCTTGACATAGGGTCCAGGCAGAGAAAGACACTGTAGTGTTTGAGGCATGTTAGCTATAGAATCATAGAATAGTTAGGGTTAGAAAGGATGTTAAGATCATCTAGTTCCACCCCCCTGCCATGGGCAGGGACACCTCACACTAGACCATGTCACCCAAGGCTTTGTCCAACTTGGCCTTGAACACTGCCAGGGATGGAGCATTTACCACTTCTTTGGGCAGCCTCCTTTTCCCTTTGACCTTAGTTGTGTTTAGTGATTCAGAAGTGGTATTACACAGTGCACAAAGGTGTAGATCAAAATTATGAATTACATTTTTTCCCTGAAGTTATCTTCTGTCTGTGTTTGATGACATCTGGAAATTGCAAAGCTCAGTGAAAGTAGCAGAAAGCATGCCATATATACATATATATATATTATTGTGCTTATGATTTTCCTGTAGCCCTGCCCATATTCTTGCAGTCTGGGGACTAACTGTAATTCTCCTTTTTTTTAACTGTCAGTCTTGGTCACTGTTCTTCTGTGAGGTTTCCCCCCACCCCCCAAAAAACCCCAACAACACCCCAATAGGCAGAGTCTGTACCATGAAATAAACCACTACCTATTGGAGTTAAATAGCTGATTGCAGGGTGGGGGAGCAAGGGGTTATAGTGTTCAATTGGCTTTTGTTTCATTGTTACATGTCTTTTGTTATCTTCCAATCATTAGTAAAGTTTGAAAGTTCAAATATTAACAGAAAAGTTCACAACTGCTGCAAACACAAGTGTGTGGATGTTGCCACACACAGTAGCTGTAGTGGGCCAAACTCTGCCCTGGTAGGACTCTAGTGCTTGCAGTGAAAATGACCTTTTATGTCAGTGGTAGCTTTTAGCCATTGTCCTTTGAAAACATCAAGTTGATGCTCTTGAATGTGTGATGGTGTTAAAGATACATGAGAATAATTTGTAAAAGCAGCATTTTATCTCTGTATCAGTATATTTCCAGAGCACTTACTTTCTTAACAGAAAGTATACATCTGAAATGGTGGGGTGGCTCAAACCTTTTCTGTTTTTTTAAATTAATCTTATTTCTTTACACCACATTATCTGTGGCCTTACGCAGGTCTCTATTGCCTGTCAGAGAACATGGCTTACATACAAAGCTAGAGTATACTCTTCCACTGAGTATCTGAGCTGACAAGGTCTTGATCTCTCATGTGAGTTTTGCTGTTGATGGATAACCTTTGCTTCTGTGGAATGTGTGCATCTTAATGCGTGAAGAGTGCAGTTCTGAAGTGGGGAGTTTGTGGTTTGGTTTCCTTTGGCTTGTTCTTTCATAAGACCCAGTTCTGCAGAGCATTTAAGTGTGTACTTCCGTCTCTTATCCAGAATCTTGCTGAAGTTAATAAAACATGTGTTCCAAGTTAATCATATGCTTTAAAACTTTGCTGAGTAGGGATGAATTTATGCCCATGATGAAATGTTTCGCTGAATTAGTCTTAATGTTTTGCTTTCTTGACTTCCTGTCTGGGAAGTTGTTATTGCAACAACATATATTTATGTGCAAAAGATAGGCAATGAGGACATCCTGTCATTTCATTTCCAGAGGTGAATATGCTTGAAAATTCATATGATAATCCAGATAATTCTTGTGCCTTTGC